TGCAGTGCTCTCCCTTCTCATTAGTCTATAAAGTAATAGATTTCTATATGACTTTCTTATGTATCATTAGTTTTCATTGATCCTCTCACCCATCCCCACCCTTCCCTCATCCCCCATACCCATTTAAACCCTCCCACTCAGTTTTTATCCCTTTACTCTCTTTATAAACCTATGTAGGTTTTATAATCCTGCTATTTGGTCTTCTTCCCAGGCTCCCCACCTCATGAATCTTTCTTATACCCTGGCTTGTTGTGCTGAACAGCTTTATGTGTCAACTTGACGCACCCGGGCTGAGAGAGCATTAACTGGGGAATTTCCTCCATTAGCCTGGCCTGTGACCATGTCTGTGAGGCATTTTCTTGATTGTTGAGTGATGTGGGAGGGCCCAGTCAATTGTGGGTGGTGTTACCCTTGGTCAGATGGTCCTGTGTTGTACAAGAAAGCAGGTTGAGCATGGGCTAGGAGAGCAAGCCAGGAAGCAACATTCCTCCATGGTGTGTGCCTCAGCTCCTGCCTTTAGGTTCCTGCTCTGAGTTCCTACCATGGGCTCCCTAAGTGATGAACTGTGACCCAGGAGATGCAAGGCAAATAAGCCCTTTCCTCCCCAAGTTGGTATTTACCAGAGTGTTTTATTACAGCAATTGAAGGCAAACTAGAACACTGAACAGACAGTCCTTGCAATTTGAATACATAAATCTGAAAGTGTGAATATGGGATCCATCTATGAGAGGGAACACATGACATTTGTGTTTCTGAGGCTGGATTACTACACTCAGTGTGTTTTCCAGTTCCATCAATTTTCCTGCACATTTCATAATTTCGTTTGTCTTTAGTGCTTAATAAAATTCCATTGTGCAAATATAACATGTCTGTATTATCTTTTTATCAGTCAATGTACATATAGGTTAATTCCATTTCCTGGAACATGGATGAACCAGTATCTCTGGTATAGTGTACAGAGTTCTTTGAGTGCATGTCTAGGAGTGGTATAGCTGGGGGATACGGTGGTTCCATTTTCCACACTGATTTCTGTAGTGGCTCTAGCTGTTGATACATTCATACTCCACCAACAGTGTATACAGTTCCCCTTTACGCGCATCCTTGCCAACATTTATTGTCATTTGTTTTCTTTGAAACAGGGCCTCCCTGTAGCCCCAGCTGTCCTGGAACTCACTATGTAGACCAGGTTGACCCTGAACTCACAGAGATCTGCCTGCCTGTGCCTCTCAAGTGCTGGGACTACAGGCATGTGCCACCATGCCCCGCCTAGGAATGCCATTCTTAACTGGGGTAAAATGGAATGTCAAGGTAGTTTGGATTTGAATTTCCCTGAACGGTAATAATGTTAAGAAATCTAAAAAATATTTATGAGGCTCAGAACCCACTGCTAGCATGCTCCAGCCCACACTGGTGAGCTAGTCAGAACCCTGCCCACTTTGCTGCAGTCTTCCCACTCTGTAACTAGGCCAAGAGCCTGCTGCTAGAGAGCTGCAGACCAGCCTGGTGAGCTGGTCATCATCATCCCCCTCCGGGACTAGGTCTGTCAAACACTGCTCCCAGCTCTGCACTAACACAGTGAGCTAGCTAGACCTTGCTGAGTATTCTGTAGTGGAATTTCTTTTAGAGATCTGCTAAGTCTTTATCCTTCCTTGATCATTATTAACCTGGTTACTTTTTTAAAGTATATTTCATCAGATGTTAGAACAGTGACACCTACATGTTTCCTGGTTTCATGTCCTTGGAATAATTTTTATCCTCCTTTTCACTCCAAGGTAGTGACGATCACTACTGATAAGGTGTGTTTCTTGAGAGAGCAAAGAAAATGGATCCTTTTTTCTAATCCAAGCTAGTAGCCTGTGTCTTTGGATAAGAGAATTGAGACCATCAACATTAAAAGTTATTATTGAAAGGTAGCTACTAATTCCTGACATATTTTAATTTTTGTTTATTTTCTTGTTCCTCCTTTGCTTAATCAATATCCTTGCACTGTTTATTTTTCTGCTTCAGCCTCTTACACACGCTTATCTTTCTCTGTCCAAAGCATCCCCCAGTACATCTGTATGGCTAACTTGGTCATATATTCCTCTAGCCCACTTTCATCATGGAAAGTTTTTTCCTTTGTTTCAGTTATGATGGTTAGTTTTGCCAGATATTGGCATCTATGTCCCTTACATATTTGAAATATATCTCTATAAGACCTTCTGGTTTTAAAGTTTCCATTGAAAACTCAGCTGCTATTCTGATGGATCTGCTCTGTGTATGGGACTTGGTCCTTCTCTCTTGCTGCTCTTGATTCTGACCCTCACAGGTCGTCTTTGTCATGACCTCCACAATCATGTAGAGGCAAGTGCACGCACACATACACACACACACACACACACACACACACACACGAAAAAAAGCAATGTACAATGTTTAATCAATATCCTTGCACTGTTTATCTTTTGAAATTTGAATTATTTGAAATTATTCTGTCACAAAGTTGGTCTCTTTCCCACCCTTGAAGCATGTATTCAGTTACTTATAATAGCATGGACTTGGGCTATTTGTTACTTTCAGTTATTGTCTAATACAATCACTATATTGTCACTCAAATTGCTCCAGCTTTGGCTCCCAGCACTCTTTCAGGCTGACACACCCTATCCCTCTGTCTTCTGGCACTTTCTTACATTCTGAGATTTAAGATGTCCCTGATTTACCTTGTCTGTTCCTAACTCCAGGTCTCACTCTCCAAAGAGCCCTGCTTCTTTTCATTATACAGTTGAGTTCTCACTCATTTTCCGAACCTGGATAACTGTCTTCTGTAGAACACATTGTTGGGGTTCCAGAACCTGCTAAAACATCACTAGGTCACCATGTGCCTGGGATGTAGCCTAGAGTTCTGTTTTGTGTGGTAGGTATGCTTATTAGGATTTTCTGCTGCATACTGTTTTGAGTTCTTGTTACTGTTTTATTGTGTTTTAAATTCTTATAAGGTGTTTGAAAAAGTGGATTATGGGAGGGGCCATTTGGGCAGCAAGAAATGGGTTTTGAAAATTTATTTATTCTTGGACTTATTTTCTCCCAGCTCAACTAGCATGGCTACTGTAGTGTGCAGAGCTTACTGGGTACAAGAGCCTGATACGTTTGTACGTGTTAATGAACATACTGGTGAATCTGGTGAATTAATCACATCTTGAGTTTGTTCCCCTAGATTTTATGGATTTTATCAGTTCACTAAGAGATGATCTGCTTTCCAGGTATAGGATCATCATGTTCAAACTCTTAGAAATGGACACATCTCTATAACTGGGATTTATTTACCCACAGTAAGAATTGCAATGGCAAGCAAACTAGAATGCTTAGGTCAGTGGAATCATTTCTAGTAATACTCAGGAAGCACAATCAGGACATTGCCTGGAGAGCATGGATCAGAGCACAGGGAACTTCCCGATTCCTGTATGGAATGGCATATTGTCAAAGATCATGATGTCCCTTTCCTCTGTTAGGGCCACTTTTACCCCCAGGAGCAGAAAATTCAGGATGAGTTCTACTTGCTTCTGGGGTATATGGATCTCCTTGGTCCTTTAGGCTGACAAATACTTCTATTTTTTCAAAAGCTCTAAACAGTCAGATGGTACAATAGGAGCAGAATTTTAAATGCCAAAGTTCCAATCTCATTGTTACACCTTTATGGAAAATAAGCACTTGATAACCACTATCTATGATTTCGGTGCTTAAAAAAATCTTAACATGTCTTTAACCACACATTGTGAAAACAAAACCAAACAAACCCAAGCTGGGATTTACTTCTATGAAAATATAAAAGTAAAAAATATTGCATTTACCAATCGTTTAATTTAGACACAGTAGATTTTTCCTTTATGCATCATTCCTCATTCATTCCTTCCCCATGCTAGAAGCACTTTGCTGTTATACACACATACTTGGTAATTGTATGACCTTGGGCAGCTTGTTTCACTTTCCTAATTTAACTTCTCTATCTGCAGCATTAATAAAGGTAATACTACTTCAGAACACTGATGCATTGATTAAATGCAATGAAATACGTCAATGTTTTCCCTGCCAGATAGTAAGCATTGAATCAAGGTTAGCTGTAGTCACATATTGAAAATATCCCCAGCAGGAGCTCAAAACTACAGTTAGCATTTCAGATACCATAGTCACAGTTTTTCTCCTACAGAATTAGTGCTGCTTTATTAAAGTGTTGTGGGCAAGTAGGCATTTATCTGGCAAATAGAGGTGTCAGTCCAAACTATTCAAGTTGGGACTGAATGCACTACGTTAACCACCACTGCTGTGTGGGTACTGTACTAAATGCTAAGGTCCATTTTTTAAAATAATCTGTTTTAAAACTAAGAGCAGATCCTTGTGAGTCTTTATTCATACTTAATGAAAGTGTCTGGTAGAGGTTGCCAGCTGTAATTACGTTAAGATGTTTTATAATTTATGTTAAAGGAAAGACCATATACATAAATTAGTACATATTTGTGCATGTTACCATGTAAATCAGAGCATACAGTTTTACAAATTGTTGTGTTTGGGGCTTTTCTATTGAAGCTGCCCTCTTTGGAAACTGAACGTCTACAAAACACCAATGATTGTGGTTGAAAATGGCCATCTTCTACAGCTATGTCATAAATGCAGGACTGCAGTGAAGAAGTCCATCATAATGTCCTCACTCTGAGTATTGGTCACATGGTCATCTGACATTCGGGTCCTCTGGAGCCCCAAGGAGAAGTTACTGTGCCTCACATTAGTGTGAACTTGTGAGGAAGTATTCACCAAAGATTACTACGGTGGTTTGAATGAGAAATGTCTCCCAGTAGGCTCAAGTATTTGAACCCTTGATATATGGTCCCTGGTGGGAGGCAATGTTTTGGGAGCTCATGAAATCTTTAGGGGGTGTGGCTTTGCTGAAGGAAGCACATTACTAAGGGCTGGCTTTGAGAGTTCATAGTCTTACCCCATTTCCCTTTTTTTTCCTCTCTCTCTCCTAGCTGAAAATGTCTGAAGATGTGAACGCTCAGCTTTCTACTCTGGCCATCTCTACCACTGTGCTTTCACCATGATGAACTTTTATCCTTCTGGAACCAGAAGCTTAAATAAACTCTTCCTTCTATAAGTTGCCTTGTTCATGGTGTTTTATCACAGCAACAGAACAGTAACGAACGCAACTATTCTTGACATCCATATAGGTCTCTAGGTAGAGTTTTAATTTTCCTTTTCTTTAGCTGACATGGGTTGTTAGGCATATTAGTATTCCAGAAGCATCAAAAGGTGGTCCCCAGGATCCCTTTTGGCCATGGAGATGACTTACCTGTTCCCAAAACTAGAGGTCATGGGGCATACAGCTGTGCCTAATTTTTTTTTTAAAGAACTCAAGTGTGGTCATTTGGGGGGCACATCTGATTTATTGTCTTCAGTCTCAGAAGTTAAATGCATCCACATCAGGGCTCACTTTTCTGTGGTCTGATTTAAGCCCTTTGGGCCAGCTGGCTTCTGAATTTTCAGATCCCTTCTGTTCTCTTTCACAGTTTGCTCCTGTCAAAATGGACTTGAACATTTAACCATATTTTCTTCTTAGTTAGCTATTTGGATATCTAACACTGGACTTCTTATCTGCTTTCAGCCTCTGAGACTTAATTTTTTTATCCTGCTTACAAGTTATCCTAGAGTCAATGCCCTGCCTTTTAACCCTGTTACTTTGGACACCAACTAATGGACCACAATTATGGAGGAGCCAGTCATTTGTTGACACTGCTGAGTCTCATACAGCACTGGAAAAATGAGGCTTCACATATTTTTCCTTCTAAGGGTGATGGGTAACAGTTTTCTTTGGAGAATTATGAGTTCTTTGTTTTCTTGAAGAAAAACAGGATGAATGAAATGGAAAACAGAGTATCAACACTGGAAAATAAAGTGGAAAACTAGACCACTCAAGCAAAGATTATGAAAAATTTAAGAAATCACAAGAATGGAATATGCAGGAATTGTGTGACACCATAAAAAGACTGAACTTATGAATCATATGCATGCAGGAAGGAGAAGAATCCCAAGATAATGGCATGGACCAGATCTTTAACAGAATCATGGAAGAAAATTTTCCAAAATTAAAGAAAAATATGCCCATACAAATACAAGAAGCATATAGAACACCAAACAGACAGGACCAGAAAAGAAATTCTCCATGGCACATCATAGTAAAAACACTAAACGTACAAAACAAAGAGACACTACTGAAAGCTGCAAAAGAGAAACAACAAGTCACATATAAAGGAAAACCTATTAGGATCACAGCTGACTTTTCAGTGCAAACTATGAAAGCCAAAAGAGCCTGGACCAAAGTATTCCCAGTTCTAAATGACCACAGATGCCAACCCATATTTCAATACCCAGCCAAAACATCTACTATAGTCAAAGGGGAAAGAAAAATCTTCCATGAAATAAATAGGCTGAAGGTATTCATGTCCATAAAACCAGCCCTTCAGAGAGCTCTGGAAGCAATGCAAAGAGCTGAAGAAAGGAATGACTATACACAATGGATCGCAGAAAAAAATCCAATGAAAGTATAACTGTGGAAAAGTACAGCTATATCAAGAATGTAAACATAAATAAAAATGTCAGCATTCAATACCCATCTTTCATTAATGAGTTTAAATATTAACGGACTGAACTCCCCTGTCAAAAGACAGAGGCTATGTGAATGGATTAAGAAACAAAACCCATCTTTTTGTTGTCTGCAAGAAACTCATCTCACTTTCAAGGACAGACACTATCTCAAAGTGAAAGGATGGAACAAAATATACCAAGCAAATGGCACTAATTAAAAAGCAGGCGTAGCAATCCTAATATCTGACAAAATAGACTTTAAACTGAAACTAACCAGAAAAGACAAAGAGGGTTATTTCATTTTGATCAAAGGAACAATCAATCAAGAAGATATTACAATCATGAACATATATTCACCAAACTCTGGTGCACCCAACTTCATAAAAACAATACTATAGGACTTTAAGACCCAGACTAACTCCAACTCATTAATATTGAGGAATTTCAATACCCCACTGTCTCCATTAGATAGGTCAACAGGGCAGAGAATTAACAGAGAGACATCTGAATTAAGCAATACCATATGTCGAATGGACTTAACAGACACCTACCAAGCATTCACCAAAGGACATACTTTCTACTCAGCACCCCATGGAACCTTCTCCAAAATCGACCATATACTGGGGCACAAAACAAACCTCAACAAATACAAAAAGATTGAAATAATTCCATGCATTCTATCAGACCACAATGCAATAAAGCCTACAATCAACACTGAAGAAGCCCTAATCATCACATGAACTCATGGAGATTAAACAACACACTC